GTTGTTGTGTGCCGTCGAGTCGGCCCCGACTCATAGCGACCCCTCCTTGGGTTTCCGAGGCAGTATCACTACGGAAGTAGGATTGCCTAACCTTCCTTCCGAGGAGTGGCTGGTGGGTTTGAACCGCCAGCCTTCTGGTTAGCAGTCAAGTGCTTTAGCCACTATGCTACCAGAGTCCATAGTGATACTGCCTCGGAAACCCAAGGAGGGGTTGCTATGAGTCAGATCCGACTCGACGGCAGTGGGTTTTTGGGTGTATTGTTTTGCCATCAATTTCAGGGAGTCTGTGAAGCCCATCCATGGATCTCTTATGATTTCCTAGGACTGCTCACAAATTAAGAAGCTTAGTGCCTAAGGCATTTGACTGCTAACCAGAAGGCTGGTAGTTCAAACCCACCAGCTACTCCTCAGAAGACTGGACAATTTACTTCTGTAGAGATACCACCCTGGAAACCTGAGTCAGAATCGACTCGACGGCAGTGGGTTTGGCTTGCCTAAAGAAATACTTCAAATTATACCATTATACATTATACCAAGAATGTATTTATTTATTTACTTGGACCAAGGCTTATATCCTATGCATATGTAAATATTTTAAGAATATCGATAAATCAATCACTTAAACCTTAGTTTCAATGACCTTAAGAACAGGAATGTAGAACACTGCCAAGAAGACTTGTATGAAGTGACAATTCAGGACCAGAAAGGACCACAGAAATCTCCTGGATGTCAGTGTGGACAACTTAACACCAAGAATGGATGGCATCAACTGGGGTCTAAAAGCTTTCAAGTGGCCATCTAAGATGCAACTATTGGTCTTTCCTTATCTGGAGCAAAGAAGGATAAAGAAAATCAAAGATGTAAGGAAAAAATTAGTCCAAAGAACTAATGGACCATAGGAACCACAGCCTCACTATCTTGAGACCAGAAGAACTGGATGGTGCCTATCGGTACTGACTGCTCTGATCAGGATTACAACAGAAGGTTCTGAACAAAGAGGGAGGAAAATAAAAACAGAGAACAACACTCAAAATCTTAGTGGAGACCAGACTTACTCCAGTGGTATCCCTGAGACTATGGCTCTTAGATACCATTCAAGCCTGGAACTGAACTCCCCACTGGGGATCAATTTACAGCCAAACAATAAAGAGACCTATAAAGTAAATACTAACACCAGAGATTTTTTGTTTTCTTAAAAAAAAAAAAAAAAATCCCTGGTGTTACTCACTTGATAAGTCTATCTATTGGTTGGCTGAAGAAAAATCCTCACAACTGGACCAATAAGGAACCTCACGATAAATGGAGAAAAGATTGAAGTTGTCAGGGATTTCATTTTACTTGGATCCACAATCAACACCCATAGAAGCAGCAGTCAAGAAATCAGACATATTGCACTGGCAAATCTGCTGCAAAATGTCTCTTTTAAGTGTTAAGAAGCAAAGATGTCAATTTGAAGACTAAAGTGTGCCTAACCCAAGCCATGGTGTTTTCAGCTGCTTCATATAAATGTGAAAGCTGGAGAGTGAACAAGGAAGACAATGAAGAATCGATGCCTTTGAATTGTGGTGAAGAATACTGAAAACACCATGCACAGCCAGAGGAACAAACAAATCTGTCCTGGAAGAAGTGCAGCCAGAATGCTCCTTGGAAGCGAGAATAACCAGACTTAATCTCATCTATTTTGGTCATGTTGTCAGAAGGGATCATTTCCTGGAGAAAGATATCATGGTTGGTAAAGTACAGGGTCAGCAAAAAAGTGGAAGACCCTCAGTGAGATGGATTGACACACTGGCTGCAACAATGGGCTCAAGCATAGCAAGGACTGTGAGGATGGTAGAGGACCGGGCAGCTTTTCATTCTACTGTACTTGGGGTTGCTATGAGTCAGAGCCAACTTGACGGCATCTAACACCATCACCACCACCAGGAAGGAATATACTCCTCAGTTCAATCAACCATACGAGACCAAAAGGACGGCATTTGCCCAAAAACAAACCTCAGAAGGCAGGAAGGGGCAGGAAATAAATGGAAATGGGGGAAGGCAAGGAGGAAGTGGGAAGAGAGCTGTTACAACAGGATTGCAAGCAATGTCATGAAACAAAAAACTAATTTGCTCTATAATCTTTCACCCTACCTACCTACATACTCACTGCCATCGAGCTGGATCTCATAGTGACCCCTCCTTCGGTTTCCCAGGCAGTATCTCTACGTAAGTAGATTGTCCATTCTTCCTTCCAAGGAGTGGCTGGTGGGTTTGAACCACCAGCCTTCTGGTTAGCAGTCAAATGCCTTAGGCACTACGCCACCAGAGCTCCCAATCGTTCACCCAAACTAGGTTTTTTTTTTAAAAAAAAGGAAAAAAGAATAGACCACCTTGGTGCCCTATACACTTCCCTAGACATTTACATTATATATCCTCTGGAAGGAGCTCTGGTAGCCTAGTGCCTAAGGCACTTGACTGCTAACCAGAAGGCTGGTGGTTCAAACCCACCGGCCACTCCTCAGAAGGAAGATGGAGTGATCTACTTCCATAGTGATACTGCCTTGGAAACCCAAGGAGGGGTCGCTATGAGTCGGGGCCGACTTGACGGCACATAACAACAACAGCAACAACAAGTCCTCTGGAAAAGAAGTGAAAAATTCCTGAATTGACTCAAGATTCAAAAAAATATTGGTGGTTGAACATGATGAATGTAATTAATGTCACTTAATTGTACATGTGCCGATTGTAGGAATGGAAAATGTTCTGTTACCTATATACTTATCACTAAACCAAACCAAATTCATTGCCATCTAGTCAGATCTGACTCATAGAGACCCCTCTTTGGGTTTCCCAGGCCGCATCACTACTGAAGTAGATTGCCCAATCTCTCTTCTGAGGAGTGGCTGGTGGGTTTGAACCATCAGCCTTCTAGTTAGCAGTCAAATGCCTTAGGCACTGCGCCAACAGATCACACGTGCGTATATACACACACACACACACACACACACAACTGGCAGTTCAAACCCACCAGCTACTCTGTGGAAGGAAGACTGGGCAATCCACTTCTGTAAAGATTTACCACCTGGGAAAACCAATGGGGGTCGCTATGAGTCATAAACGACTTGATGACAGTGGTTTGGAAATATAGATAGATAGATACAGATACAGACATACAGATATATAGAAAATACAATTACCGTTTGCACAATGGAGTTTGTGAAGGGAGATTCAACTGTACCACAAATGAAAACAGTCCCCTCTTCCCCAGAGATCTAGTTCCATTCTCCAGAGATAACCAGTGTTAACAGTTTTATATGAACATTTTCAGACACTTGCTATGCATATTCAGTTACATGTGTATGCCCCCCTTTCTTGCTTTACATAAACAGAATCATACTTTACAATTTATTCTGCACTTAATGGGTCTTGGAGATCTTGCCATTTAACACATTAATACCCACCTCACTCTTTTAAGCACACCCCAGGTTTCTGTTACTACAAACAGTGCTCATACCACCTTGGTGGCAACTACTCTCCCCTTCCACCGAGCACATAGGACAAGTTAGTTAGACGGGTTCAGACTCAGTTGGTCTCCCTTCCTTTTCTTGCGTGCCTTTATTCCCCCGCTCCTTCCCAGTCCCTCATCCTAGTCCTCTCGGTTCTCACCTCTCCTCTCCTCCTTTCTCTTTCACAAACCACACCCAGTCCCGGAGTTCCGGGGAGGATCCTGCCAGCAAGGTAGATATACTTCCCTGCTTCCCACCCGACCCGAAGAAGATGCCAGGTGCTAGGCAGGGCCTTTTCACCTCAACTCTCTGTTTTCGAGCCCAGCACCCCACACCCTGAGCCTGGGCACGTTTCTACCTGCGTTCGAACCCTCCGGAGCGACTGGGGAGTTGAGAAGGCGGGGTTCTGACTCACGAGTCTGCGTTCTCCACAGCAGGAAGCAGAAGCCCGGCTGTAGGCTCAGTTAAAGGGAAGCTGGGACCAGAGGAGGAGCCCGGCTGAGAGCCAAGAGGATTGTTCGCCGGCGGAAACTCGCCCGCCCGGGCCGGCGCGGCGGAAGCGGGGCTGAAAGCTGCCGCCCTACCGGGCTCAGCACGCACCGAGGTGACATGCCTGGCTGGGCAGGGCTTACCCTAGAGGACGTCTGTAGCCTTTTCTGTGGCCGAGTTTAATTGTGGTGAAAGTATACACTGCAAAAGTACACCAATCCAACAATTTCTACGTGTATAATTTCGTGACACTGATGACATTCTTCAAGTCGTACAACCATTCTTTTTCCAAATCATTCCACCACTATTAACGTAAACTGACTGCATGCTAAACAAAAACTCTTTTCCTTCTCCCTCCCATGTCTGATTTAAAAAAAACAACCAACCAAACACAGTGTCCTCGAGTGGATTCTGACTCATAGTGACCCTATACGACAGACTACAATTACCCCCATAGGGTTTCCAAGGCTATACTCTTTACAGGGGAGCTCTGGTGGTGTAGTGCCTAAGGCACTTGACTGCTAACCGGAAGGTTGGCGGTTCAAACCCACCAGTCACTCCTCAGAAGAAAGATTGTGCAATCTACTTCCAAAGTGATACTGCTTCTGATACCCAAGGAGGGCTCGCTATGAGTTGGAGAGGACTCGACGGCACAGAACAACGACAACAATCTTTTCCAATCTGCAACTCTCCGTCTCTTGAGTGGTGCATTTAATCCATTAACACTCAATGTAATTATTGACAGGTATGAATTTGTTGCTGTCATTTCGGTAAACAACAACAATCTTTACAGGAGCAGATTGTCACATCTTTCTCCCACGTAGAGGCTGGTAGGTTCTACCGCCAACCTTTCTAGTTCGCAGCCAGGCGCTTTAACCACTGTGCAACCAGGGCTTTTCCCAACTCTAATAACCACTATTAATTTTAGGTTTCTATATATTTGCCTGGGAGCTCTGGTAGCGTAGTAGCCACTCCTCGGAAGGAAGATGGGGTAATCTACTTCCGTAGTGATACTGTCTCGGAAACCCAAGGAGGGGTCGCTCTGAGTCGGTCCGACTCGACAGCACATAACAACAACAACATATATTTGATTAAGGAGATCTGATGGCGTAGTGCCTAAAGCATTTGACTGCTAACCAGAAGGTTGACCGTTCAAACCTGCCAGCGGCTCCGCTGAAGGAAAATTGGGCAATCTACTTCTGTAAAGATTTACCCCCTCAGAAACCCAAAGGGGGTGGGTGTCGCTATGAGTTGGCATCAACTCCATGGCAGTGAGTTTGGTTTTTTGGTTTATATATTTGCCTATTTCACAAATGTGAGATCATACAGTATTTGTCATTTGGGTACTGACTTTATTTCACTCAGTGTAATGTTTTCAAGGTTCATCGTGTGGTGGCATTCATCAGGACTTCATTTCTCTTCATGGCTGAATAATATTCCATTGTATATATTACTCTTCCTAGTCTTCTATTTTCCTCATTCTCAGGCTTCCCCTTCTACCACACTCCCATCCTCTCTGCTAAATATCCTCTCCCTTCTCTTTTCTCATCTCCTACAACATGAAACAAACATCATTTCTTGAAAAAGATTTACACATGTTCATTGCCCATCTGGACATCTTCCCCCCACCCCCGTATCAAAGACAGACTCTTGATTCATCCTTAAGATACTTTGTAGACACAGAATTTAGGAGGAGATGGAGAGTCCAAAAAAATAGACTAACCAGGTGTGAAAAAATCAAACCCACTGCCATTGAGTGTATTCCGACTCATAATGGCCCTAAAGGACAGAGTAGAAGTGCTCATCTTTCTCGTGCAGAAGGGGTGATGGATTCAAACCACCAACCTTTTGGTTAGCAGCCAAATACTTAATCACTGCACCACCATAATTAAGGCAAAGTGCACTGAGAGCATTCCCCTCCCCTCTTGTCGAATAGGGAGAAATTTGTGAATCACAAAGACTCTATATGGAGCTATTTTGGATGATTAATGTGGATTACCGGAAAGATGGGACCAGGCTCAAGAAAGAGACAACTGATCCTTAGGAAAATAAAGCTAATACCTATTTCATAAGAGGCAGGGCAAAACAGAAATAGCAGAAATATGCTCTCTTCATATAAACAGACTGGCTATCTTCTGGAAAATATTATCACTTTCCTTAAAGAAGTACCCTGGATTTTCAGGTAACAACTGAACAGCTGTCACAGATAACTAAGACTGAAGCAGAATTGGGGGCATCCTGTCTTTTCTATATACAAAGCCAGATCTCACCTTCCTTCCTCACAAAATCTTCCATCACCACCCACCCCATCAATCCCAACACTCCTCTTTATAACAAGTATTTTATGGCCCGTTTTATTATCCTGGGGAGCTCTGGTGGCGTAGTGTCTAAGGCATTTGACTGCTAACCAGAAGACTGGCGGTTCAAACCCACCAGCCACTACTCGGAAGGAAGGGTGGGCAATCTACTTCCTTGGTGATATCGCCTCGGAAACCCAAGGAGGGGTCGCTGTGAGTCAGATCTGACTCCACGGCAGTGAGTTTGGTTATTTATTTATTTGTTTGTTTAATACAATTCATAACGCAGTGCCGTCATTACGGGGGTGCGGGGCTGCAAACTGCACCCCCTGACACTGTCAGAGGGGATGACACCAAAATGACCCCAGCGTCCGCGATGGCGGCGGGGAGGGGAGAAGGCCATAAAGTTAGTGGCGTCACTAGAGTTGGTGTCACCCGTCACCCAGTGCGGTAACTGGTCACATCTCCCCCCCCTCCCCAATCCTCACCCCGACCCCGGTCGCCCGCCATTCAGGGGGGCTGGAAGGCTGACTAGGAGGTTGCCACTGGGCGGGGCTGGGACGCTTCCCCTACTAAGGAGGGTTCGCCGGCTGGTCCCGCCCACCGGGGGGGGGTTGACAACTTGAATTGCCACACTGGGTGACGCCAATCACGTAGTGACGCCACTGACTTGGAAAGGAAGGGGATTTCAATACCTAAGCAATGGCCATTAGTTTGAGACTGGATGTGAAGTTAAGCTTGTGGAGAGAGAAAATCGAATTCTTAAAGACGATATAATGTGTGGTTCTGTTATAGAAAATTTCACCTTGTGTAGAATCATTCCCTAGTTATGTGGGTTGCTTAGATCCAGAATTGCTTAAATCACAGGATTACCTGCTCCTCCCCGTCCTTCTCCTATCCCTTCACTTTGTCTATATTTACGATCCAGGGATACTTGCCATTAAAATCTTTTATTCTCCCCATCTACGCCTCGATTTAGACTTCTAATGTGTTCTCTCAAACCTTATAACCTTCGGGTCAGCATCGTTACTGGGGTCGACCCTGCTTTCCTTGTCCAGGAATCCCCTCAGCCACCGGGTTACAAATATTTTATTCTGGGGTTGCGCCATTTAAGGTTTGACATTTTCTTTTCAAATTTCTCCCAGTTTGATGCAGACACAATTCAGAGTCGAGTTGCAGATAGATGGCTTGGGGCTCTTCTCCTACCTTGCAGCCCACTGCCCACAGAGGTCTCTGTGCTGAAAATCCCGGCCCTCTGGATAGGAAGAGGTGCAATGCTGCAACGCTGATGCCCCCACAGGAGGGGAAAGGGTCCAAGGCTGGGAGGTTATTAGGCTTGCAGCCCAACCACCCACGATGGAATCAGGTTGTGTCACCATAGAGACAGGGCCCGCCTGCGTGCTCAGCTGCCATTGGCTGGGGACTCATGCTGGGGATATAAACCAGCACAGAGTGAACAGCGCGCTGTGTCAAGGACACTAGGCAACTGCAGTTTCGCAGAGGAAAGCGGCTCAGAGCGCAGAAGGCAGGTTCATCGCGAGGGTGTCGGCGGGACAATGGAGAATGAGTGAGTTGGGCACCCGGCCCGTGGGACCTCGAAGGCCCCTGGGGAAGGGTAATGGCTGTAACCGAGACCTGGGAGCACGGTACTCTGGGCCCAAGGAGGCAGGAGAAGGAACTAGTGCTTGGAAGGTGCAGAGAGATCTGCACGGAGCCCGGTGTCAGGGGCAAGGCAGCAGAGCAGTGGGGCAGCCGGCGCGGGCGGGAGCGAATTCAACCGGGGTGGCGCCACCTGAGCAGGAAGGGGACATGTTAGTGTAGCGTAGCTGATTCATAAAAGGAACCAGTGCGTGTGTCTGGATGTTGGAACGAGTGTAAGTGCAGAGTGAGACATACTCCCTCGTTCCCTACTCCACACACAGGGAAGAGATCTACCTTCCCCACCATTGATTCCATCCCGGGGTCTAGGCAAACCTAAGGCCGGCTTTTGTGCTCAAATCTGGAGCTCCCCCTTCAGAGGAAAGATCGGCCACCTTCTTCAGCAGCACCATCCTCCAAATTAGAGGTCCCATTAAACAGTGCTGGGGATTGAGTCTCCAAAGGGAAAAGCAAACTAAGCCCATTGCCATCGAGTGAATTCTGGTTCAAAAGGACCCTGGGCGGAGTAGAACTGCCCAGCAGAGTTTCCAAGGCTGTAAATCTGTTTTGAAGTAGACTGTGCCTCATCTTTCTCCCATGGACCTGCTGGTGGGTTCAAACTACAGACCTTCTGGTTAGCTGCCCAATGCTATAACCACTGGCCCACCAGACCTCACTCCAAGAAGAGAAGGAAATCCTTATTCTCTGGAATGAGCAACAGATCCTGCCTACTCCCCTCATATTCCAAACCAAACTCACTGCAGGGGGTCAGATCCACTCCTTGGGTTTCCCAGGCAGTATCACTATGGATAGTAGATTGCCCAATCCTCCTTCCAAGGAATGGCTGGTGGGTTTGAACTGCCAGCCTTCTGGTTAGCAGTGAAATGCCTTAGGCACTAGGCCACCAGAGCTCTTCGCACCACCCCCCCTCACATTACACTTATGAAAACCCTTCTTTCTGCTTTGGTCCTACCATTCCCAGGCCAAGTCTCCAGCACTGGGGATCAGAGTGGCTTTTGGATGGCCAGGAATCCAATGTGCTCTTAGGGAACTGATGGCCAATGTGAAAGTCTCTGAATTGTGTGGCTTGATTCACCAGGTGGCCACAGCTTCACACTTCTTTCATTTCCTGTGAACCTGTTAGGGATGCTATTTACTGTGTTCCCCCTGATGGCCTTATCTTAATGCTTTATTACGTCTCCTCTCCATTCTGTGACTCCAACTCTATTGCTTGCCCCTGCTCTACTTTTTTTTTTTTCTTTTTATAATCAAACTCCTTTTTTATTTTTTCTACTTGTTTTCCCCCTTCTTTTTTTTTTTTTAATTAGGATTTGGGTGAAGATTTAGCCCCTGCTCTACTTTTGGAAAAGAAAAAGAAAAAGAAAAATTAGTTTTCACCTCTGGATACTTGGTAAGATGTGTTCAGTCTTGCCACGCTCCATAAAACCAAACCAAACTCACTGCTGTCAAGTTGATCCCGACTCATAGTGACCTTGGGTTTTCGAGGAAATATCTCTATGGAAATAGATTGCCCAATCTTCCTTCTGAGGAGTGGCTAGTGGGTATGAACTGCCAGTTCTCTGGTTAGCAGTCAATTGCCTTAGGCACTATGCCACCAGAGCTCCCTGCCACACCCCAGTTCCACCTTATTTTTTCCCCCTCTAAACTTTGGTCTTCCCAGATGGGTGTGGAAGAATTGACTTGGCACTGTGAGAAACTTTTGAGTTCTGCTAGTGAAGGGGTTCTGAGTAAGTATATGCCCTTAGGTCTCTCCAACTTCTGAGCTCCCTAAAGGATAAAGAGGCTTGGTGAAGAGAAGATGGGAATGAGCACAGAGGGTAAAGAGTGGCAGGAAGGAAACCACTGGTAGGGGAAAAGCAGGGAAAAGATTGTATATATAACACAGCCATAGATCTTTGGAGCTTGTTAGCACATCTTTTGTTAGGAAGTCACTTTTAAACTGAGCCTCTCAGTTAGGTGGTACCAATTGCATTCCCTTGCTTTATACCAGTCAAAGATTCCTGATGACACTGTGGTTAAGTGCTTAGATAACCAAATGGTCAACACTTTGAACCAATGAGCTGTTCTACCAGAGTCTACATCCATAAAGATTTACAACCTTGAAAGCCTTATAGGGCAATTCTACTCTGTCCTATGGGGTCACTATGAGTTGAAATTGACTCAATGGCTGTGGGTTTTTGATTATACCCAAGGAAAGAATTTGAGGCACAGATTACTTGCTTTAAAAGACAAAAATCGAACTAGAATTCAGATTGAGTTTTGCTCCACTTTGGACCAGAAGTTCCTAAACCTGGCTTTTGCCGGAATTATGTAAGGTACTTCTATAAAAATACAGATTCTGGGGACTCTTACCAAAATTATCCATTTACAGGGGTGAGGTGGGCCCCGGAATGTGTTTTTAACAAGCTTCTGCTAATAAACATATGCGGCCAGCCTGCCCCACCCTTTGACAACCAGTGTTGTGGACTGTGTCTACTTTTTTGTACAGTAGCTGATCTCATCTCTGGTCTTGATTTACTTCTTATAATTCCAGATGGCAGAGGTCTTTGTGGGCCTGGCGATCCCAGAAATAATGATCCAGAGGAACTAGCAATGGCACTTAGACTTCCACGAGTATTTCCTTAGTATTTGGCTGAGGGAGGCACTAGAGGGTGAGGGTTCGAAAGGTGATTGAATTTGCCTCTGCACTCAAGGTAGTTTTTACTACATCCAGTGGTGCAGTGCTTAAGGCATTCAGCTGCTAACTGAAAGGTCAGTGATTCAAACTCACAAGCCACTCCACGAGAAAAAGATGAAGCAGTCTGCTTCCCTAAAGATTTACAGCCTTAGAAATCCTACGGGGCACTTCTGCTTTGTCCTATAGAGTCACCATGAGCTGGAATTGACAGGTTTGGTTTGGTTTTTGAGTGGGGGATAGGAAGAAAACTAAGGAGGAATGTATTGGGTTTGTCCCTGCCCTAAGGAAGGTCATAATCTCATTTTGAGTGCTCTCATAGCTTTCCTTCTCAGGCCCAGCCCTTTCATCCTACTTGATTTGATTACTTCACTGTACTTCTCTGTAGATTTGATGTTCTTTCCCTCCTTATCCCCCTCCTTCTCATGAGGTGAAATATTAAAACTACCAGTTGTCGCAACACTGGAGTTTGGACTGGTAGCAGAAACAAGCTCCATTAACTTTGCCAGACTCTGGAATGGAGCTGGATTTATGTCACACTTGGACCTGATTCAGAGAAAGATGGTGGTTGGGTGAGCACACTATGCCCTCTAGTGAGGGTGAGGAGCTTTCTGTCTGGGGTAGCTCTTTGGTCAGCTTGTCTGTCTCTGTTGTCTCAGTGTACCTGTCAGCCTTTCTGCATTGACAGTCATCAAGCATCGCTCTGTGATACCCTTGGAATGGGAATGAAATTCATCTTGATTTTTTTCTTTTTTTCAAGATTCACATATGAAGATTACCAGAACACAGCAGAATGGCTTCTGACCCACACCAAGCATCGGCCTCAAGTGGCATTGATCTGTGGTTCTGGGTTGGGAAGTCTGGCTGAGAAAGTAACAGAGGCCCAGATCTTTGACTACAGTGAGATACCCAACTTTTCCCGAAGTACAGGTACTGGCAGGTGGGATAGGAGAATAAAACTCAGAGATGTTGATGGGATTCTGTAGAATACAATCGATGAAGGCCAATGTTTCTAAGCCTGGACCTCTAGAGTATATAGTTATGCTCTTCAGCATTTAACTAAAAGCAAATGTCGCTAAAGAGGAAAAGAGCCCACCATGAGTCAGAATGACATTAGAAGGTAAATTACCCTAGCAGAGATTCCAAAATAGGCTGTGGATGCTTATGTCAGTGGGACCACAAAATGACATTTTTCCTATGCTTATCCTACCCAAAGCTCCTTAAAGCTGTAATAACTCCCATCTCTCCACACAAACCATCATCAACCACACACATACGTACATACACTCTCTTCCCATTTCCTCCAGACTGTAGCTTATGGTAAAAGTCTGAAAACTCCTAGGACACAGTCAGACCTCCCCTGTCTGATGGTGTTATTGTTGTTATGTGTCGCCGAGTCGGACCTGACTCATAGCAACCCCTCCTTGGGTTTCCGAGGCAGTATCACTGTGGAAGTAGATTGTCCCATCTTCCTTCTGAGGAGTGGCTGGTGGGTTTAAACCGCCAGGCTTCTGGTTAGCAATCAAATGCCTTAGGCACTATGCTACCAGATCTCCCCCTGTCTGATGTAGTCCTGCAATTCTCCACACCCCGACCTATAGCTCTAGTACTAATATAAGTTTCTAGTACCCTAATAGGAGCTCTGGTAGCATAGTGGCTAACGCACTTGACTGCTAACCAGAAGGCTGGTGGTTCAAACCCACCAGCCACTCCTCGGAAGGAAGGTTGGGCAATCCTACTTCCGTAGTGATAACTGCCTCGGAAACCCAAGGAGGGGTCGCTATGAGTCGGGGCCGACTCGACGGCACATAACAACAACAACAACAACAGTACCCTAATAAATGAACACACAGAATGATTACACAGACATGATTCAGACTGACCCTTTGGAAGAGGAAAGGGGCAAGTTGTCCCCAATACACAGTACAGCCTGATAAAGAGAATATTTCTAATACAGCATCTGAGAATAGCTTTGATGCTTAAGACTCAGGAAAGGATCAGATAAAATAGGGACAAGCAAAGGACAAGGGCAGTTAATTTGGTTTACTTATTAATTTCTCAGATAACTAACTGCTCTTTGTTTATATACTAGATTTTCTCATTTTTATCTTCATTCCCTTCTTCCCTAGAGTTAAGACTTTTATGAAACATTGTTCAAATCCTTTGGGGCAAGACTGGGAGAGCAGAGCAAGGAGGTAGAAATGGGGATTGGAGAAGGAAATATTAAAAATGAGACACACACAGAGAGAGGGCATAGTTCTCCAGGAATTGGCTCTATCTGGCACTTCACACACACAGTGAGTTGGGCACTGTACTAAATGACAAGTTGACTTTTTTTTTTCTCAGTCTATTGTTTTGTACTTTACATGGGTTTTCCTAACTGTGTCAGTTACAATTTTTGTTTGTTAGTTTTCAAATAAGTGTTTCTCAACTCTCTCTCCCAGATCATTCATTCACTAAGGGATAGATTGGCCAGGCCCATAACAGAATACAGATAAGGGAAACAGTAATGATGGTGATTATGTCTGATTGGGGACTTAACCTTTGCACTCCTGCACCCCTGAATGCTCTGGTGTGGGCAAGTATTCCCCAAGGTCAAAAGGGAGGAGACATGCAGGATTCAGACTCAGTCCCTTTCTGCCTTGTTCAGTAACCTGCTCTTTAGGAAGCAGAGAAGATCTTGAGCTCCATTTCTGGAGTATGAAAGCATATAGTTTGATAAGGGCAATAAATAAGAATATATATTTTTAGAATTTTTTAAAAAAAGCTCTATAATTACTACATTTACTACTTCATTACTCTTTTTTTTTTTTTTTTTCCTCACATTTTATTCTCTTGCATCATGGCTTTCTCAGTCTTTTGAAATTTCTTTAAGAAGTCTTTTCTTCCTTCCTTTGATGTTTGGTGTTCCCATAGAAGAATATTCTTCACCTGTAGCTCTAATCTCAAGTTGTACTTAAATACTTATTTGTATGATTCTGATATATGCCTATCCCCCCCCATCTGACTTAAACTTTCTGAAAGCAGAGACAATGATGTCTTTTATTGCTTCATTATACCCTCATATGTTGAGCACAATGAGCGGACCATAGTAAGTACTGAATGGATATGTGTTGCAAGAAGGCAACATCCCATTCATTTCCCTCTTTATTGTGTACAGTTCTAGGACAGATTGGTCGACTGGTGTTTGGGTTCCTGAATGGCAGAGCCTGTGTGGTGATGCAGGGCAGATTCCACTTGTATGAAGGCTACTCACTCCAGAAGGTAAATGGGCATAAGCCTGGTTGGATCTGGGAGAAGAGGGAGAAAATCACAAGACAAGTCTTTCTTAATTCCTATTTCATTATCTAACTGTCTGGACTAGGTAGATTTTTGGTCTCCTCTTTCCTCTCCTTTCATTATGTGTATCATGTATGTATCTGTGTAGCTGGATTGATGAGGTTTTGAACCCTTTTCTGCACTTTTGCTTTGAAGGTCACATTTCCAGTGAGAGTTTTTCACCTTCTGGGTGTGGACACCTTAGTGGTCACCAATGCAGCTGGAGGGCTCAACCCCCAGTTTGAGGTTGGAGATATCATGCTGATTCGTGATCATATCAACATGCCTGGTTTCTCCGGTCAGAATCCTCTCAGAGGCCCCAATGAGGAAAGGTGCGTTATCTTGCTCCTTTACAGATGAGTGGGGCTTGAGGATTTATTTAAGAGTTCCTAGAGAGCTCACTGTATTGTATTAATCTGAGGTGACCTTTTAACCTGTCTCCTAGGTTTGGAGCTCGTTTTCCCCCAATGTCAGATGCTTATGACCAGCATCTGAGGCAGATGGCCCACAGTATCTGGAAAAAAATGAAGGAACAGCGAGAACTACAGGAAGGCACCTATGTGATGGTGGGAGGCCCTAACTTTGAGACTGTGGCAGAATCTCGTTTGCTACGGATGCTGGGGGCAGATGCTGTTGGTGAGAAAGGGGACTTGGCTAGAGACTTGGTCAGGGAGGGATCTGGTAAAATCGAGACTGGGAGGAATAGGATATTACAGACTTCAAAGGTAAAATGAGGGAGAATCTGATTTAAGGGAGATCGAATTGACCTGACTTCTTTTCTAGGAAGATAGTAAAGTGATGACCACCAAACACCAAAGGCTTTAACAACTAGATAATACCTATGAATTAGATGAAGTCAGTGCTACTAAGCCTGAATATGACTTGATTATTTCTAAGGATTATTCTAACAGATATCATATGCCCACCTTTAGTACCACTGGCCTGTCATTAGAACCGTACCAAAAAAACAAGCCAGTTTGGCATGGATTCTGTCTCCTGGCAACTCCATGGGGTTCAAAGTAGAACTGCACTCCATAGAGAGTGCCATATGACTCCATGACTAAGATCTTTTGGAAGTAGATCACCAGGACTTTCTTCTGAGGTACTTCTGTGTGGATTTGAATCACCAACCTTTCAGCTGGAAGTGAGCACTTAAACTTTTGTGCCATCCAGGGACTCTGTGTCATTAGAACTGACTTTAAAATTACCATAAACAAAGTTAGTTGTACAGCATCAAAAAACAAAAACCAAACTCACTGCCGTTGAGTTGATTTGACTCATAGCGACCCCTCCTTGGGTTTCCAAAGTGGTATCTCTATGGAAGTAGATTGCCCCATCTTCCTTCTGAGGAGTGGCTGGTGGATTTGAACCTCCAGTCTTCTGGTTAGCAGTCAAATGCCTTAGGCACTATGCCACCAGATCTCCGAGTATAGCATAGCATTCATAACATTTATAATAAATGTGTAAGACCCTTTGAAGCCCTGTTGTTGTTGTTGTTATGTGCCATTGAGTCAGACCCAACTCACAGCGACCCCTCCTTGGGTTGCTGAGGCGGTATCACTACGGAAGTAGATTGCCCAACCTTCCTTCCAAGGAGCCCTACTTAATTTTAATCAATATAGAAGAACAATGGTTCAATGTAATAACCTAATTGATAATTTGGATTTTTGAAGAGAAGTTGAGATATTTTGGACATCTGATGGCACAGGCATTTGACTGCTAAACAGAAGATTGGTGGTTCAAACCCACCAGCTGCTCCACAGATGGAAGATGGGGCAATCTACTTCCTTAAAGATTTACCACCTTGGAAACCCAATAGGGGTCACTATGAATCAGAATCAACTCAATGGCAGTGGGTGATTAGGTTGAGAATTTTCATTCTGAGTTGGTAATGAATGGAGATGAGGCTAAAAGGTGAGGAAAAGAATCATCTGCGGATCCTTTCAATTGGTTTCTGTCTTTCTGCACACCAGGTATGAGCACAGTACCAGAAGTTATAGTTGCACGGCACTGTGGACTTCGAGTCTTTGGCTTCTCTCTCATCACTAACAAGGTCGTCATGAGTTATGAAAGACTGGAAAAGGCCAAGCATGAGGAAGTACTAGAGGCTGGAGAACAAGCTGCACAGAAATTGGAAGAGTTTGTCCACAGACTTATGCCTAGAATCCTGCCCCCTTGCAATGCCAGTTGATCGGCCTCAGAGTGGTCTGGCCTCTGCCTTATGCAATCTAAGTAGCTGCTACCTACTTTGGCCCTTTGCTGGGGTCACTTGCCTTACTTTTAGAAGGAAGAGGAGGATTTCTATTCTTTACCTTCCGTATATTTCCCACTAGACCCTCTGGTGCCAGGTTCTTTTTTGCTCAGTTGTCTTCTACAGGCAGTTTCCATCTGGTTCTTCTCCAGACTGGAGCCCAGGCCCTACCACACATCCATGGACATGCTCAGGATTTGATTGGGCTTTCGAACTTGGCACAGTAGCCATGGATAACCTTTTCAGACAATGCTCTCACATTCCTAGGGGCTGAGTTCTGCCACCCCTATAGCACTGGAGACCACATGAGGACCAGCATAATATCTCTTACAATTTTTAACACAATCATGTTTGAGAATAAAGAGAAAGATGTATCATTTCTTCATTTTTTTTTTTTTTGCAACTTAGTGAGGCTGAGGACACAGGCCAAGATTGCAGGAAGGGCTGCGAGACCACAAGTTCTATGTGATTTTATCTGCTTCTCAGACAAGTAGCTAAGATCTTAGATGAATGTGGTATGTGAATGAAAGAAAGGAAAAATGACAAAAACTTAGAGAACGATGATGAAAGAGATAATGAGAAGGAGGAAAGGGCTAGGTCCTTGTGAGTGATGCCTCCACTTCCCTCAACCCAGTCTTACCTCTGTCTCTTGACTTCTGATTGCTTCACTCTCTGTCTACTCTCATAAATTAGTTCACTGAACTCAGCTTCTGCTCCTTAGTTGCCACTTCCTTGTTAAGTCCATGTCTTAGTTTTCTAATGCTGTTATAACAGAAATCCACAAATGAGTGGCTTTAACAAAGAGAAATTTATTTTCTTAGTTTAAGAGGCTAGAAATCTGAATTCTGAATGCTGGCTCCAGGGAAAGTTTTTCTATCTATTTTGGCTCTGGAGGAAAATCCTTTGTTTTTTAGCTTCTATTCCTGGACAATCTTCATGTGGCTTGGCATCTCTCTTCACCAGCTCTGCTTGCTAGCTTGCTTGTTTAATCTCTTATATCTCAAAAGGGATTGATTTAAAACATACCCTACACTAATCCTGCCTCATTAACAAAGAGACAACTCACTCCCAAGTGGGATTATAACAACAGGCATTGTTGTTGTTAGGCGCCATTGATTGGCTCTGACTCATTGCAACCCTATGTACAACAGAAAGAAACACTGCCCAATCCTGCACCATCCTTGCACTCTTTGCTATGCTTGATTCCATCTTTGCAGCCATTGTGGCAATCCATCTTGTTGAAGATCTTCCTCTTTTTCACTGACGCTCTACTATACCAAGCATGATGTCCTTCTCCAGGGAATTGTCCCTTCTAACATACACATACCATAGTATGTGAGACAAAGTCTGGCCATTCTGTCTTCTAAGGAACATTCTAGCTGCTCTTTTCTAGGACAGATTTGTTCATTCCTCTGGCAGTCCATATTTTCAGTATTCTTCACCAACACCACAATTCAAAGGCATCAACTCTTCTTCAGTCTTTCTTATTCATTGTCCAGCTTTCACATGCATATGAGACAATTGAAAATACCATGTCTTGGGTTAGGCACACTAAAGTGCTTAAGTTCAAAGTGACATCTTTGCTCCTTAATACTTTAAAGAGGTCTTTTGCATCAGATTTGTCCGGTGCAATACCACATCTGCTTCCATGGGTGTTGATTGTGGATCCAAGTAAAATGAAATACTTGACAACTTCAATCTTTTCTCTATTTATTGTGATGTTGCTTATTGGTACAGTTGTGGGGAATTTTGTTTTCTTTATGCTGAGATGTAATCCATACTAAGATTACAGTGTTTGATCTTGATCAGTGCAAAAACGGCAGGGAGGCCACATGTTCTGACCTCCTCTAATCTCACAAGAGGAAGACAGGATTACCAGCAGTAACCCAAGGCCTATTACTGCAAGGCCAGACATGCTGCCTCCCTCCAGCCCTTTCACCAAC